TATGATGACTTGTGATTTTAATATATAAAAATAATCAATTTTTAAATGTCACAGGATGTCGATCAAAAAAATTGGCCTGTATGATAAATAAATAAATAAATAAATTTTCTTGTTCAATAAGGAGTAAAGGTTTTGAGGAAGTTTTCATTTTTTTGACCACACGTGCATTATGAATTAGTCTTTTTCTTTTATTGGACTTCGGCATTTTATTTATTTAAACTTGAATATTTTATTTTTTACGATTCTTACGTTTCTTATTATTAAGAAAAAGACTTTACGTTTTCCTTAAAAGGAAATGATTATCAGAAAAATTTTTTTTTATTAATAAAATCGCACAACTTGAATTCTTATAAATCCTTGTTCTACTAATAATTTTTAAAAAAACTCTCTGTCGGGCTATTCTTTGAATCACAGAGAAAAAAACTATGGAAATTTTTTTACTCTAACTTGTTTGGTTATCGAGCCTATATGTTTCAAAGTTTAACAGTATTTTTAACATTTTGGATGATTTTACTAATAAAATTAAAAAAAACTCTCTGTCACCATGTTCAGCATCACATTTATTACGATTTTTCTTAATTTCATACTTGTATCTTTTTTTTTGAAGGAGTAGATGCAAATTTTATTTTTATATTTGTTGAAAAAAAGTTAATTAGTAAATTTTATATATGATGTCAATTAGTTTTGATCTACATAGTCTATCGTACAACCCAATAAGTTATGGCTAATAGAAATAAAAGACAATGATTCAAACATGAATAATGTATGTTAAAGTAAGCTATTATTTAATGGTGCCCAAATAATTTTTTTTATCTTTTAAATTTTTTTTGCAGTCAATATTTTTGAAACATATCATGTGATACAACCCTTTTTTGAGTAACTATATGGGGCATGGGACCAAACATCAAAAATCATGATTTTGAGTTGATGCCACATATATATGTAACTCGTTGCAATGAACAATTTTAGCTTAGGAACTATACCCACATTACTTAATAAAATTTTGAGATATCTAAAGAAAACTGCAATACATATAAGAACCTAAAAATTGGTAAATGTAACACAAATTTAATAAAGCTGTACAAAATATTGTGAGATTGTAAACCGTGGACCAACCAATTGACCGTTAATATTGACCAATTAGAACGAACTTACTACGGAAG